TGGTAATAGGTTCCAAAATGAACATGGTACTTTTAAAATTTTTCATTAAACATGCGCAATGATGATGATGATGGTAGAAATAGTAATGACAAATAATGATTTAGTTTATTAAAAGAATATTTCTTAACTAAAGCTCTTAGATAAAATAAAATTCTAAAATAAAAAACAAAACATGGGTCAGAAGTACCTGCTTAAAGAACAAAAGAACTGATAATAAACTAGATAAAAAATATAAATAAAAAAAGATTAAATAAAATATACGCTTTATTTGAAAAAATGTTTAAAAATCTAATTTTCATTTAAAAATGAAAACGTTTAAAAATAAAAAAATTTGCAGAGACTTTTTACTGAGTTCGAAGTATTACCCGAGTAAATTTTGATACCACCAAAAAATAATTTTAAAAAATATGACGACCTTACAACGCCTATATAACTAACTTTCATTTCATCATCATTGTGATTGAATTTATATTTAAAAATGGCAAGCTTGCTTAAATGCAGGTGCACGTTCTTATTACAACGTTAATTATTTTACATTTCAACTGTTATCGAATTTATGTCTTAGACTCTAAATTTGGTCATAACTCATATGCAAGTGCACATTCTGCTTAGTTTGCTGATTATAGGCATATACATCTCGAGCCAAGTCTATTAATGAGAAATCCTTTTTTTTTAAGATCTATTACAGAACGTCAGAAAACTAAATACTTATAGACTAGAAATGCTGAATTAATATCTGATCCATGTCTGAACGATTGTGGATTCTGGAGAACTGAACAGTAATTCTTATAAACGAAACGTGATAAACACAATAATCAAGACAACACGCCACTATACATATTTTCCGTTGACAAATGGTAACTGAAACTGCTGCAATTCGATATTGGATGAGCGCTCGACGATGCCGCATAAGTTCTGTGCTAACGCGAACCACTTTTTCAGGTTTATGAGACGGTTCCAAAAAGAACGGTTAAAGTCGGCAAACGGCTGCAGCTGGATAGATCGGTCGACGTTGTCGCATCGGTTCTGTGCTGTTGCGAACGGCTTTTTCGGGTTTATGAGACGGTTCCAAAAATAACCGGTTAAATCTGTTAGCTGTAACTACGGTTTCAGGTTACACGTTTGTAACAATGTTATTTTAGCGGTTACGTTAAATACCGACCACCCCTAGTATATGGAGTGAATTGTTTAGAATGTGATAATACATATATAGAGAATGTACGAACATAAATACAGTCTGAGAAATACTAGTGAAAATAAAACAGCATTAACACAACATGCACACCAATGTTACATAATTTTGATTTGGACAACGCAGATATATTAATTAGGGAAACAAATTAGCATAAAAGAAGAATCCAAGAAATGATACAAATAAAAGAACATGCAAAAGCAGTAAATTTCAGATCAGATACCGACAACCTTAGCAACATTTACCAAACCCTAATAAAGCCATAAGTATGGAACACCCGGTACACTAGTGAAAAATTAAAACTATTTCTGCTTATCTCAATACATGCTACTACTCTCGCAAATGTAGAAAAATAATTCAGACAAACTCAAGCTTTTCAAGAAAGCAAAGACCTAAAAGGACGTTGATTTTTACGAATCATGAGGTAAGTTTTTCCGGTGTTTTACTCTCCCAAAAGGAAGATTTTTTTCCCTCAAAAACTGATGAATGTTTTAACATTTTGTAAATTATAAATTTTATACAACATGTTTTAATCGTGAATAATTGGTGTTTGTAGTTTGTGTAAAATTGTAAATCTGATGATGTCGCCGAAACGTAATGAAATAAACGATGTTTCAAAATTTTTACTTCACACTTTGACTGAAACCCAGGAAAGATAGGAATATCATAACAAGTACAC